GTGTGTGTGTGTGTGTGTGTGTGTGTGTGTGTGTGTGCGTGTGTGCGTGTGTGTGTGTGTGTGTGTGTGACATTTGTGCAAAGTCTTCCATCTATTTTGTGCGCCTGCATGCGCGGCTCTCCCTGACCCTCATTGATGTGCTGGTCCATAAACACTCGGCCGTGACTCGGGCTCCCCAGTGGGGCCGCGGAGCAGTGGCTGATGGGTAGATGATCTGAGCCACACAGCTGCTGCCGCTCAAGGTGAGCTGCCCTGGCCGCATAAATCTACATGCCTAATGAGGAGCCGCCGCAGAGGGCCCTCTTAGAACCATTACACAAGTTTTGTGTGTGTTTAAGTGAGAGCGAGGCGCACTCAGAAGTGAAACTCGGAACAAGGAGGGGAAGAGAGCGTGTTTGTGTTGAACGTGTGCAGAAGAAGAAGGGTCGGGCTGTCGTTTTAGCCTTCAATTAAAAGTTTGTATCGGGGCGGGGGTGGGGGGGGGCTTCTTTTGTCGCGATTTAGCCATAAAACACAAAAGGACAAATTTTCTCCTAGTTTTTGTGCAAGTCTTTGGCACATCATTGCTTTTGTGGAAGTCGTTTATATTTTGAAGAAGGGTTCTGCATAAAGGTTATGAATAATTAATATCGTACTTGTTGTAGGTAACTTTCAGAACAACTTCAGCTTAAAGAAATAGAGCTTAACTTTGGCAAAATGTCAGGACATACCAAACATCATATGAAAACTTGGACATGGAAGCAGGAGTGGGTRCAGGTTCCCCACAGAATGGTCTGTGTGGGGTTTGAATTGACCAAGTGTGTGTGGAAGTAGGYGGGACTTAGAACCCCACATTCCGAACGTGAAACCTGTGGTTCCAGTAATCCAACATGGTAGCGCCTGTAAACTGGCTCCTGGTGCCTTCATTGTCCAACAACAAGAGAGACTGGGAATATTAGGTCTCCTATTTCCTTCCCTGTTGATGGAATTGATGAGCTCAAGGCTAGTCTGAGTGGTGTCTGTCCCAAAACTGATTTCTTCTATCTCAAAATGCACTTTAAGACCTACTTCAGATTTACAATTCAGTGTTTGATCTAATGGAAATATAATTCCTGTGCAGCCCGGGGCACTTCTCTTGCACAGGAAGTGCTACAGCTAGCTGCTGGTATTTTTTTGCACCTACTAATACTGTAAGTTTTATTTGTTGTTGTTTCTGTTTTGTTGTATTTTTGTAACTAGAAGATTATTAATA